TTTCTTTTTTTTTTTTTTTCCACAAATTTGACTTTACTTTGATGTGAAACTTTCACGTTATTTTTAATTCACGATCATTTCCAAACGGACTGACGATGTAACTCGTAACGAACGATCCCCCCCCCTCCCCCAGAAAAAATAACTTTTTAAAATAAAAAGAAAAAAAAGAAGAACAAAAAAAAAAGAATAAAAAAAAAAAAATGATTGGAAGAAGAAACAAATACTTCAAGACGGCATTTAAAAATCAAATTTTGCAACTAATACTTAAATGAGAGATTAAATCTACAGAAATTCGATCTTCTACTACATATATATGTTCCTATAATATATATGTAGTACAATAGTATAGTAGTAGTAGTAGTGTAGTATATTCATATATACTACTATATAATTTAATATTTAATTACTATAAAATATAATTACTATATACTACTATACTATTTTAGTACTATACTATTATAATAATAGTATATAATATGTATATAAATTAATATAAATAAAATAATAATAAATAATAAAATAATTATCATAATTTAATAATATATTATTATTATAATATTATAATTTATAATATATATATATATAATTATATTACTATTAATATAATTTATTAATATATAAATTAAATTATATATTAATACTATGTACTAATAATATATTATTATTATTATTATTATTATAATATTATTATATATAAAAATAGTACAATAGTATTATATATAGTATAATAGTTATAATAGTATATAATATAAATATATAAATTTTTCCTAACAAAATTGCTATTGTAATATTTAAATATTTATATTACATATATAAATTATAATATATTATTTTTCCTAGTAAAATATCTATATATGCATATAACATATGGTCATGGTCATGGTATACTAGTTCGTTGAATTCATATTAATATGAGCTATAATGCAGTAAGATCAAAACTATAAGATGAATATCATTTAAACAAAAATACAAAGTACTCTTAAAAACTATAAAAAAATATTTTTATTACACCATTTTTTTTATTGTCAATTTATTAGTAAATCACAAAACAGATCAACTTTTGTTGAAACTATTTTTTTTTTTTGAGTCAAATTATCGCAAGCAAGTATTTAATAAATCATGAATACAATTACATAAGACTCCCTGTCTCCCTTACAAAAATAATGAGGGGAGGAGGGAGAGGGTTGGTTGGAAAATTTAAGGGGGATGAAAATAGGGGTGAGAGAATGATACGATGTATATTAAACATTACGAAGCTTTTGGTTTTAAGAGGAAAATGAATGCTTCCTGATTATTAAACGGCTAATAATCAAGGTGGAATATTAATTGGATATACTGCGTGCTTTTATATATATGTGTATGTACATATGTGAATGTGTATATGTGTGTGTGTGTGAATGTACTATATGGTGCTTATCGATCGATAATAATGATTTTAATTAATTAACTCGAAATATCTTGCCAATGAATCAGACCTAGTAATAACAACCCTCTCTCCCTCTCCCTTCCCCCTCCTCCACCTTCACCACTACCTCCTCCTCCCCTTCATCATCCCTTCTTTCTCTTCCTCTCTCTCTCTTTCTCTATGTATTTATCTGTATATGTATTTCTCTTTCTCACTCATTTTCGAAATCAGGATAATACTGATTATTAGCATTTAATTGTGAGAGAGAAAGATAGAGTAAGGGACTACTGATCATTGTAAATTATTAGAATGAATTGCATGGAAGAAAACCGAGATTCATCCTATTTTGTCATTTTTCACACATACATATACACCTAGATATATTGCTAATTAACCGTATATGGTTTATTATGTAGGTAAAATTATTTTTAGTAATTTATTGTGAGTTATACATTTTCAAGCAAATGTTTTTTGTTTCAAGCACATTTATACTATTGTTTTTATTTTTTTATTTTTGATATTTCGATTAGTATTCTTCTCTTTACTATTATTACTATTATTATTATTATTATTATTATTATTATTATTATTATTATTATTATTATTGTAGACATAATTTATTATATATGTAGAATAATTTTTAATATTTTATTGAGACATATCAATTTTTAAACAGATTATTTGTGTACCTTTTCTATTATTCATTTTTATTATTGTTCTTTTTTTTTATTTTTGAAATAATTAATTGGTATTATTATTATTATTGTTATTGTTGTTGTTGTCTGTAGATTTAATCGTTGTGGTGGCATCCATGGTGGTACTATCGGTTGGAAGCAATGGTCAAGTGTTTGCAACTTCCGCGATAAGGGGTATAAGATTTTTGCAAATACTTCGTATGCTTCATGTCGATCGTCAAGGTGGAACATGGCGATTACTAGGTTCTGTCGTATTTATTCATCGTCAAGTGAGTACGAATATAAATATTATTTATTGTTTATTTAATTGTAATATTATTATTCTGTTTTTATTTTAAACAAAATTCTACAAAGTTGTAGTATACAGTGGCCTACCCAAATTTAACTAGAAATTTAAATAAATAAAATGAAATAATCATGCAAAAATTTCATTCCCATTCGTCCTAAAAAAAAAAAAACGAAGAATTATTTATTGTTTATTTAATTGTATTATACGATTTCATTTTTTCTTTAAACAAAATTCTACAAAGTTATAATATACACAGTCTTATCTGAATTTAATTGAAAAAATTAAATAAATAAAATGAAATAAATTTAATTACATTAAAAAAAAAAAGAAATTAATTACACTAAATAAATCAAAAGAAATAATCATCCGAAAATTTCATCCCCATTTGTCAACAACAACAACAACAACAAAAAAAGAATGATAAATCTATCTAATTAAAATACATTTAGAAACAGTTCATAAATAAAATAGAAGAAGAAGAAAAAAAAAGAAAAGAATTGTTTTAAATGAGAATAAAATTAATTGCTCGAATTAAGATGAAACAATGATAAAAAGGGGTAAAATAGGTTGAGATTATAAAACGTTTCATACTCGTGTAAATTAAATATATAGTTATAATAGTTATATTATAGTACTTAAACTTCATTAATGTTGAGTAAATTTCAAATAAAACAATAGCTAAGATTTGCAAAAGTATTTTCAAACACACACACACACACACACACACACATATATATATATCTATATATGCATACAAAGATTAAACGATATTCTAACATATAAATTATCCTGTCCGATGCAATTGCACTGGGTAAGAAATTTTAAACGAGATAAGAAAAAGCGGAACCACCACGGTTTCATTTATTTCTATCTTGTTACTAACAAACAAACATACACAGCAGACACATACAGCAAGAAGACACATACAGCAGACACATATACATGAGACCAGATTATACCAGGACTCGTTAGAAAATGTTTAGAAGATAAATTATCCTTACGTGCATTTTAACCATTATCATTTTCTTTCTTTCTCTATCTTCTTTTTTTTTTTTTTATCTTCTTCGTTTCTTTTTAATTTTATTTCTTGTTACCGTAACTGTAAATACTACTATTACAAACAAAGAACACTGTTTGTTAATCGATCCATGTTTTTTTTCTTCAATTTTTTTATTTCTATTCTCTTTTAAAATTCGATGTTTATTTTTGATTCGTTACTATTATTCGTGAGATTGATATGTTTTATATTATTTTATTTTTGTTTTCTTATTTTTCTTTGCAGGAGCTGATCACGACACTTTACATCGGGTTCCTAGGTCTTATTTTCAGCAGTTACTTTGTGTACCTTGCCGAAAAGGATGCTGTTGGGCCCGATGGAAAAACAGACTTTTCCAGTTACGCCGATGCACTTTGGTGGGGTGTGGTAAGTTTTTTAAAAATTACAAATTTTAATATCAGACATTCAACTATCATAGATCGAACTAATCTCGCGTGTTAACCAGTCTTCCCAGATTGTAATATAATATTTTTACATTCGTATGTATTTGTATCATGGAAAATAATAATAAATATGTTTTCATGCTCTTTTTTTTTTTATTAAACCTATTTATTTTCTATTTTATTTTTATCTCTCAATAACAAGAACAAGAACAACAACAACAAGTATAACTTTAATAATTCTAATCTAAAGTTAAGCTCCGTTGTAGTTTTTCTTTTTATGTTTTTCTCCCTGGTTTTTATATTTTTTTTTTTTTTATTATTATTTTATACTCTCGTAATTCAAATCGAATTAACTGCACGATATGTGCAAAAGAAACGATCAATGTTATATATTTTTGCATGTGTATATAAATATGTATGTATGTATGTATGTATGTATGTATGTATGTATGTATGTATGTATGTATGTATGTATGTGTGTGTATGAGTATTTGTATTTAAGGGAAGAGAAAGGAACGTGTCTATCTCTATTTCTCTCTCTATTTCTCTCTCTCTCTCTCTTTGTTCGTAGTCACGTCAGCACGCATTAAAACGAAACAAGCAAAATCCCTTTATATCGTACTACCCCCAAAAGCTACCATGTTACGCTCGGAATTGTGTCGAACACATTCTGCTTACCAATTAATCCTCGTTGCTTATCCAAACGAATCCCGTATGACGTTAATGTTTTTGATCGATTATTTCCAAAATAATTGAATAATCGACCAAAATAATAATAACAATAATAATAATAATAATAATAATAATAATGATGACAATGATACTGATGAAAATATGATAACGATATCTCCCAATAAAAAAAAAAAAAAAAAAAAAAAAAAAGAACAAT